ACTGTTACTGTAGCACTTTAACTTTCGCTGGAACACAGGACACAGGTTCGAGGGGAGGCGCAGCGCTGTGCGCCTACATCTGTCCTGTGCGACTGCTCACAGCGGAATGAAGCCACAGCCCTACGTACATATTTCACAACCGAAACTCTGAATGGGCGGTCTATCGAACCCGCAAAATAAAACTTATCGTGATTGGACTACCTCGACACGACCTGAGGGCCACGGTTGCTCGAATGTTTATTTAAATAGAAATAGTAATTGAAGGGGGTGCCAAGAGTATTGACCGTCAGATTGGTGAACTAAGTAGCCCGCAGGTGTAAACCTTACTTTGATGATATTGCAACATAATAAATGTTGATGAAAGGATAAAGGGGGAAAGGCAGTCAGAATATATATGTGTGTGTATGTGTAATAAACTACTTGGATATTACAAACGACTGAGCCGCAATAAGCACTCAAAAGTTGGTTTGAAAACAATACTTTCGAAGCAAAAATTTCTATTGCGGAAGCATATAAACACCCCAGAAGCATGGAAATTGTTTAATATTTCTGAAAGAAATTAATATAATTATTCACAAAGAAAGAACACGGAAATAATTAGTGGTGCTACATAATGTCACAGACTTTCCCGCATTAGCTTTCTATTTCCTTTGGTCTCAGCTATCTATTCGGACTTGCCACATACTCGTGTCAACTACCATCTATCGCCGCCCAAAGTTCAGTTTTTTGACATTTTTTCAATTTTTTCGTTTTTTAAATAGTAGATCCGAAATATTAGTTTAAGAATATTAAAGAACAGTAAAACCTAGTCCAAAACTGCAATTTTGTTTGAAAAAATTAGATCGGTTTTTAAGAATATGGCGTTTAAGTGCCACTGTAAATTCGAAATTTGAAGCTCTTTTTTACAGAATATTTTTGAGTTTTTGATAAACTTATTAGAAGTCAATTGAAGCACTTTAACTCAAAAATACCATAGTGTTTACAAATAGCTGGAAATGTGTATATTAACTGCGTAGAGAGATCTTTCAAAATAATTGCATTTGTGTAATTTTTGATAAAACAACAAAATTACCCCAAAATGACTTTACGTCTTATTAAAGAGTGCAATTAGTACTATCCTTTTCAAAAACAATTGCAACCGTTTTTGAGAAAACAATTGCAATCTGGGCATTGGTGAAAACGTTGAATTTTGAACAACTTTTCACAGAAAACAATTGAGTTTTGAAGAAACTTTATAGGAGATTATTTAAAGGAAATCGCCGCTAATGTAAATATTAAATATTAACGACGCAAGAGACTCGTCAAAAAATTACATTTTTGTAATTTTATAAAGAACTAAAGAGTAGAGAAAACTGATGTTTACTCCATCTCATAGAGAACATTTAGCATTATCTCTACCAAAAGTTTAAAGAAAAAATTTGGAACCGTTTTTGGGAAAATTATGTTGATGGTTTTTTAATTTCATTTACCGGACGCAATATTGAACAAAAATTACTAAAGTTTTCGAAAAAACTTAATAAAAGATGTCTCTATGGAGAACAAATTGTATTTGAAGGAAAAATTAAATTGAATTGAATTATTGCCTTATTTTACGTGGCGAGACTCGGGCCATCAGGCCCGCTCTTCCGTCTGACCTCGCAAATTTCTATCTTCATCAAAATCTCTATCTTCAATTTTGTAGTTGCAGGAAGATGCCCGAAAAATGTCTAAATTTTCGAAAATTCAGAGTTAACCCTGAAAATCGGACCTTTATCACATTTATAAGTGTATTTTACTCTATTCAAATAAGAAATTTATAGAAAAAATTTGGAGACATTTTGAGAAAATTTTGAAAACTTCCAGGTTGTATCATGTGAAGAACCTCCGAATTTTGGAGAAAGGTTATCAAAATCACAGCGCCTCGATTCGAGTCAGATCGACAAAGGAATATCAATTTTCCAAAAAGCCTTCTTATGGTTTAGGCGCTAGTGATGTTCATAAACGGACAGAAAAAGAGACGGGTAGACAAACAGACAGACGGACGTTTTGAAAAAAACACCTTTTCTGTATCAGGAGACCCCCAAACGTGTATTTCAGTTAAAATCCCTATATTACTCCGTACTCTCGTACGCATACGAGAAAGTTAAAGATAATTTCTTCAAAACGATTCTTCTGAATACTCTGATACTAAACGCTATTCGGCAGCCTAATAGATTATACTTCATTACAAAATCTGTTGGTTCAATGTTACAATAGATTTCGTTACAGAGGACCAATGATTAATTAAAGTATTAACAGTTTCAATATTCAGTTTCCATTTGTAAAACTGTTTATGGGCTCTGTGCATTCAACCTAACAGGCAAATGATGCAGCGATTTTACGCTAATGATGCAAGCCATATAATGTCATGTAATTTGAAGTATATCCATAAATGTCCCTACTATTCTCGCCGTAATGCTGAATAATACCACACTTTTCAACAAGACTTTCTATTGTCTCTAATCTCTACATTTCTCCCATTTACTGTCTCTGTGTGCGTTGTTTGTCAGTTGCCATACACCGTACTAGTGATTGCGCGGTGGAATGAACCCAATCTCATTGAAACTGGATGCGACGAATATGTTTGAACTCAAAGCTAAATCTTACAAAGCGAATAGCGAAATGGAAATTAATTACATGCGGAGGCTAATGACCGGAAAGTAATTATTTCGGAAAGTTAGTTCTTCAGAATTTGGTATGTTTGAAAATAATTACATATTAGAAGCAAAAAATGTAGTAATTCCTTTTTAAATTCAACTTTTCTCAATAATATTTTCATATTTTGCGGTGGGAGTTCTTGGAGGTTTATTGTATTTTAACTTATTTCATTTATTAGGTTTTTCAGTGGTTTATCCGAAAGGAGCATCCAGATAAAGTAAAAGTTAAAAAAGGGAATACATTCATCGCTTTCTATTCTCAAACTTTCTGCGTATGTTCACCGGCAACCTCAACTCGAGAAGATCCTCTCTTCACTTTCCGACTCGCAACGTCTTTCTGAGTCCCTCACGACGTACCTTCTCCGATTTCCAACCCCTCCACCATCACGCTTACTCTGTTCTATCAGAAACTCCCCGCACCTGTCCTCAAGTCGGAATACTGTGGCTGCCTCCGTCCCGTTCTGTCCCGCCTCGCCCCCCGGCACCCCTTCCAGAAAGGCCGGGGCCGGGGCTCCATGGAAGGTCGACGCGGGTCAGAGCGTCGTTTTGCCTATTAAAACTGATCCGCGAGGAGTTTAGAGGCCTTGAAATGTATGCGCCTCATGTTTTAATGCATGCGGCGGCGAGAGGCACGGAGGAAGGGACTGCGCGAGCTGGCTTGTGTTTTAACTCAACCGAAAATGGAGACTTTTCATTACGTCTGTTTAATGCAAGCCTGTTGGCCTACTAGGGAGTTTCGATTTCCTTCCTGAGAGTGAAAGTTAAAACTTGCGAAAGCCGCTGGTTTGCATTCATGAATGCGGCTAAATATCCGCCTTTAAGACAAGCCTACGGCAGCGCATGACGAGAAAGGAAACTATTAATAACCACTTATAATGTGAAAGCAATAATATATGTCAGGTAAGAAGAGGGATTTTGCACAGGTATTAGATTTTATTGCCATACCCAAACATTTACAATAATTAATGCACAATATTAAAAATGTAAGTTTAGAAGTATTAGCAGTATTGGTTTACGATAAAGGAAACTACAAAAGATGAAATTGTCTTATCAACTTTCTGTCTTTGGTAAGTGAAATCGAAGAGTGAAGGAAATTAAGTCCTTTTAGGGTTTAAATAAATAATGCAATAATAAAATACAATTGGTCGCAATAGTTTCACTTACATAATTTTTCAAAACTATTGAAATAGGATGAATAGTTGTCTGATGTTGACATAGAACAAGAGGAAAAATTCACGAAAAGAATATGACATGGATATCACAGATAATTACGACTAGTAATCATTGATAATTTCGTAGTTTGGGACACGTCAACTGCTTTGGTCGTTGATCCCATAAGTGTAGTGTTTGTTTATCCAGCAGGGAGGTGGCAATGTGCCTCCATCGCTGGAACGGGGATTTGGCGCCGACCACCACGTCGTCTTACGGGGGTTCCCCATTCAGCATGTACCTCCGCAGCCGGGCCTGTCCCAGCCTACACACGCTCCAAGTTCCTGAGTGGTCTTCTGACATGTGTGGTAATAAGAGTGTTGGAGGGAGAAAAAGTGTGTGGGTTTACGGGGAGAGGAGAGGGCAAGTACAGGAGGGAAAATATCGTGCGTGATACATAGCCCGTTTGTTAAGATACTGCCCCGGCATTCGCCTGGTATTCATTAGAGAATTTCCGAGCACTGCCGATCAAAGCAGCCGGACCCTAGAATTCTTCTCCAGTATTATGAATTAAGTGATTACTACTTACTACAAATGCTTTATTTTAAAATTCAGATTTCTGAATTTTTGTTAAAGAAACATCTTAGAAGAAAAAATATACACTCTGAGCTTGATTTCAAAGCATCGGAAATGCTTTTAGGGAATGAAAAATTTGTTCCAAACCACTTAGTTCCACAACTTTTAAGACAAGAATTATTTCATGAAATTGAATAAAATGAAAAACAAAGGAACTTACAACGAGAACTTCCAATCTCTAAACGTTCAGAGATTAGTGATGACCTCTGTGAAACTGCCTCGGAGAGTCGGTACCGTTCGCAGACTGATGAACCAATACGGGATAATTAGCACACGTGCCGAAACCACTGCGTCTAGAATCACATCTTCGTTCAATGTTTACGGAAATAAATGCAAATAATGTAATGTACCATGTAAATACTCTAAAGTAGATTAACTTGTGAGCAGGTTAACTTACGTACAATCACATACTCATTCAAGATCATGACAGGGTTTCAAATAATGCGTGCAATTGTTTTAATGATGGCGAAATAGGCAATTTTATTTGCTAGAATTTGTGAATTGTGACAAATGAAAACTTTTGGATTGAAATGTCACATACAAAAATGAGAGTATGATCTAACAAAAACTATTTTTTAAAATTACATTTAAATAGAACTGACAGGGCGGTTTGCACGCCACGACTTAATCCTAGGAAGGTTCCACACTTTGTCCACGAGTGCTTTTAGATGGGGATAATCTTCAACTGGATTTGTTTTCAAGAACTCCTTTGCGGAGTCAATGGTAGCAGCAAAATGCAGGTCAGCCCAAGTAAGCTGAAAGAGATATTCAACATTAATTCGTGCACATTTTTCATTAAAAAATAATCTGAAAGACAACTTAATGACCTTTATGGCCAAGATTTCGATTTATCTGATTTCATATATACATGTTCCTAATGTGTTATTTAGTTTGTTCTACATATCCTCAAAGCACAATTAGATCTCTAGAATGTTTCACCATTATTTTTGTTAACCGCGACCAGAATTTGGCTCTCAAGCCAAAATTGACAGCAAATTTTTAGCATAGATTACAAAATTTCTACAAAATCCGAATTATTTGTTGCCTTCCTCTCGCTATAACGTGTATTTATACTTTCTCCCCTTACTATATACCTAGCAAAGAGAAAGTATTGTAAAGTTGCGGCAAAGTTTGACAATTTTTCGTCAGAAAAACATGTTGCCAGGCCTTGGTAACAAAAACGTAGATTCATCTTGTTCCTATATGTAGTAAATTACTTTCTCTAACACGTTGTTTAGTCACAATACAAGTTTTGAGGGTCCTTGGTACCGAAAGATTGATTGACTTTAAAGCATGTCAGTCTGTCTGTCTGAGCGTCCGCCTGTGTTCAACGATAACGCCTAAACTGTCAGATGGTTTTCTCCAAAACTGATATTTCCCAATCGATCTAAACTAACTCGATACCTTGCGAGTTTGAAACGTGTATTTCGATTTTTGGAGGTACTTTACCTCAAGCTACAACATATTCTAAATTTTCTCAACAATGCAACCAATTTTTTTAATTAAAATTTGTCTTTGGAAAGCATAAAGGACGCTTAAAAATGGCTCAGGTACAATTTTCGTTAAAATCTTTGAATTTTTGAAAATTACAAAAGCTCAAAAATGTTACAGCGTCTTCTTGCAGCTACAATATTGAACATAAAGGACATTTCCTCCCTAAGTTTGTGTGACCCACAACCCACACAATAATGCAGGATCATCCACAAAAAGGGCGAGAGTGCATGTGAAAGAAGCTGCTGTTAAAGTTTGTATTTTGCGATCTACGAGTGGTAGGAAACGGGCATTTTAGTAACAATTACTAAGACATTACAATTCTCCTACAGTTACTCGCACACTGCCATATTAATCGCCGTGAAAGAGCAAATCATTTCGCAGACCTGATTATGATCTCTAATATGAGTGACTGATGGCAATCATAAATTGACGGGAGCATTCCAAAATTGCAATTTTCATTCTTCTTAGTGCATATTTGCATTCATTTCGATAGCCGGGAACAGTAGTCATTTCTATCATTTACAAACAAAACATACCATAATCAGCGGACGCAATTTTTTTTCAATTTTCGAAAAATAAGTAACTTTAACGAATATGGCAGCTGGACCATTTTCTTGAGCGTCCTTTGCACTATCTAAGATGAAAATCTAATCAAAATAGTTTGTGCCGTTCATAAAAAAATAGTTTAAAGAAAACAAAATTGCCTACGTTTGACACAAAATTTTGCAAACAATACTCATATTTTTAAAAATTTAAACATAATATTATTTGTAAGATCTGTTTTTGATTAACACATTTCATTAAGAAAAAATATATCTTCATAACTGTAGTTGTCGGAAGACTCAAAAAAATTTGAATTTTTGCAATTTTCAAAAATTAGAATGTTCAACTAACAAGAGACTTGAACCGTTCTATTAAGCGTCCTTCACACTATCCATCAACAATTTATTTAAAATCTTTGTATACGTTTTTGAGAAAACATGTTTTAACAAAACTAAAAATTGTTTTGTGTCACAAAATTACACGAAAAGTACTCAAATTTTCGAAAAATTGTACATGGCCTTATTTAAAAATAAATCTTTAAGGGACACATTTTATTAAGGAAAAAATATCTATCTTTATATATTAATTGAAGGAAGTCTCCGAAAAAATTTTGAACTTTTGCAATTTTCGAAACATTAAGTATTTCAACAAAAATAAGACCTGCACCATTCTCTTAATTGTCCTTTACATTGTCCAACAACAAAATTTAATCAATAACGTTGAAGCGATTTTTTTTGAAAATTTTTAATATGTCCCAGGGGCTTCATGTAAAGTACTCCCCAAAATTAAAACGTCGGTTTCAAATTCAAGGGCTGTGACATCTGCCATATCCATTGGTGAACATCAATTTTTGAGAAAATCAGCTGATCGGTTAGCCGCTAGCTTTGTTCACTAATAGACAGATGAGCGGACAGACGGAGGGGCGTTTTGCCGTCAATCGATTTTTCGGTATCAAGGACCCACAAAAAAGGATTCTGGTAACACCGCGTTAGAATATTTTTTCTAACTGTAGCAACTGGATTTATCCACTTTTTCCTTACCAAGTCCAGGAAATAAGTTTTTTTCTGCCGAAAATTCGCCGCTTTTTCCAGCAGCTTTGCATACCTTTCTACTGCGCAGGCAGTAACAAGAAAGTAGAAAGAAAACAAAATCACTTTGTCGTGCTACTTGATGTGAATGAAAATGTGATGAAACGAAAATGAAATAAAAATTACCTTCTTGTCGACAAAGAACCCGCCATTTTCCTTCACTTGTTCATCAAGACGATTCAAATAGAAGGGCAGTGTTTCCTTGTCAAATGTCTCCCTCATTTTTTCTTTCTCTGACTCCGGCGCAAATACGAGATTGAATATCGCTGAAAGAAAAATGTCACTTAAATGTTTTAAAATGTATATTTGAGCCTATATTGAATGTGTAGGACAGTTCACACTCACCTATACGGATGTCAACTACTGTATCAACTGTAGAATCTATTTTAAGGTTTTGCCAGTCGTCTATACCACCAAGGCCTACTTTCTTACTGAGGTAACGACAAATTGATATTGATTGGTGAGCTTTCTTCTCTCCAATTTCCAAAACAGGCATCTTGCCATAAGGCGTTTCTGAAAAACACAAATTACTCTTATTATTTTAATTATATTAAAAATTAAGTTATATTAATTAATTTAATATAATGAAACTATGTATTTCATTAATACAAATATAATTTCGAAGACAAGAATTTTGAGTAAATGTTAAACCTTTGAATTCTTTGTTAAACAATCGATAACTTTTTTGTCTGTTTAATACATGAGTATTGTTTTCTTAATAAAATGGAAAAACTCGTGCCTAATATCAAACACTATGTAACGTCACTTTAAATGTATGAAACGGATATTAATATTTGAAGAAGCCGAAGATATGAATGCCTTTTCTTTAAAGCCCATAGTAACTCCTACGAATAATAATCCAATCATAATATTTTTACAATAAGTTAGGATTGTTATCTACATTATTAAGTCTAAAATGCATTCGTTACCAAAAACCTGATTTCACTCTTCTCTCTGCAACGAACGCAAGGTACGAGTAAATCACACTCCAAGCGATTTGAACAGGTTACTTATATAGTATCATGATTTTAAATAAAATACTACCGCACAAACTACGTCAATTTTTAATTTGTTATAATGATAAAATGCTTTTGTAGATATTACAATGATTTTACAAGTTTTTTAATCAAAATGCTAAAAAATGTAAAAAAATTCACAAAAAATAAATTAAGAAACGTACTCATTTTATAGCACATTTATGGTCTCGTTTAAATTCTTCTCGTCGATTTACATTTTATGTAAAAACTGCAACAAAACAGTACATGCTGGTTTATTCAGGCAGAATCTTCTATCATTTGTCCTGAAGCTACTACCTATTTCGCGATTGTACATGCGGAAAGATGAAAGAGCCTTCTGCACATAACCGAATCCGTACTGCTCGTGAAGTAAATTCAAATGTTTATCTCACACGTTTCTTCCCTTTTGACTACAATATTACGTCGGAATGAGGAAGCTCTTCTCTCTCACTATAACTTGAGATTTATTTTTCACTAAATATAACTCTAATTGGATAAAAATAAACTAAAGATATAGGACAGACAATGTTTGCAAGTTTCTTAACCCAGCATGGAAGAACGATAAGATAACCGACTCATATACTTTTCGCTCCAAACGCGGAAATATACCTTTGCCTCACTCATAGGCGAAGCAATTCCCTATCTATGTATACCAACGGAAGATAATCCCAGCTTAAGAGATTTTGCAAACGGCCGCTTGCCGAGAAACTACACAGGATATTTGAAGTTGTTCAAAAAACCACGGTTCACCTTGAGATTCTTAGTATTTACTGGTTTCGTACTGTTAACTCCCAAAACATAAAAACCGGACGAATCGACTCGCTTACAAAATGAAGTCTGAAGGCGAATTTTAAGACGCGAAACAACGCGGACGTGGGGTAATTAAAAATTCAGAAACTGAGAAATCCCAAAATTCAACCAGCTGCAATGAGTAATTAAATTTTGAACATTAACGACCGCGCGCCCCTTCCAAAACTGTGTTTTTATGTGTTATACATACTATGCCCGAACCGAAACCCGATGCCCGCTACGAAGGAAGGGACCGAAAAAAGACAGAAATAGGGAAAGAGAAAGAATGAGCAAGTCGACTTTATCCGACAGTTACACTCGTGCTCTGCGAACTACCTACCACCTGCACATCAGATTCTTGTACTTTCGCCTGACGGATTTCCTCGTAATTTTTGTTCGCCATATCGAAACGCTAATATTGCATAGTCATAAGGTGTAAAGAGTATAATGATATTTGCCCGATTACTCTTCTTTTCTAGAAATACAGAAATATCTTATTTCAAATACTGACAATTGAATTACAAGTTCTAAATATGAAAACATTCAAATAGAAATTTCACACAAAATATTGGAAATATCGAAATAAAAATAAAAAAATTAGCAAAGTATAATTTATTTGATAATAATATATTTCTGCAGAAAGATAATCGAGATTAATTGTTTCTGAGCTCAGAACTACAAAGTCAGATGCAAGAACATTCCGAGAATTTTCTGCAATCTCACGACATTTTGACAAAAATTATTTTAAAAGTATGTCGACTATGTCAACCGTACATAGAAGCACACGTGATAGAGCGTTGAACAGATTGCAGAAAAGCTGATAAAAGTTCCCAAATTAATGTTTGCACGAATATAAACAAGGACACCATTATGATAACGTTATCGTACTAGGTAGAGACAAGTTGATTCCGTAAGTGTTGCTGGCAACGTTCGAAATGGAACCAAGATATTGAAAATATTTATTACAACTTACGTAAGTTTATCACTAAAATAACTGTATTGGTATTTAAAGAGTTGAAAAAGCCCAATTAAAAAGTTAAGCAGAATGGTTCTTTGGAAGTGTGGAAGAAGTACGATAAACAAATGCTAATAACTTGAACTCGAAAAATGTATAAAAATGCAACAATCTAGTTTCTAATATATTTATTTACAAGTTAATAAATGTAACCAGTGAGGGATAGTGGTTTACAAAGCATAAACCTGCATTTCAAAAAAAACATGTTCGAGCCTATTAGCCAGTGGTAAAGTTGTCGTAGCTACCATAAATCAAACTAATTAGAACGATTTAGCATTTAATGTGTTGTTTTTTTTTCAGACGTATTACCCAAACATGCGTTTTCAATCGTTCAATTACGCACGTTCACATTATGAAAATGATTATGTGCGACTTCACACTTCATTGTAGTTTTAAACTTTAAATCGTTTTAATGAAAAATATTGAAAGCTAAGATTTGTAATCATGATGGTACACGATGTAATCAAATTATATCAATTTGAATCATTAACCAGAAGTTTTGTGGATCAAAAGAACAAATCAACAATCAATAATAATCAAATTGAGAATTTAGAATCCTCTTACGGCTGGTTGCAAGAAAAGTTCCCTGTAACATTTTATTCCGTCGTTAGCAAACGATCTTTAAAACTACTTGGTCCTTTACAGAGTAGGTCAATGCAAGAATGATATTTAACAACCCATTTACTAATCCGTCTTTAAAAAGAAATACATAAAATGGCCTATAGTTTTCAAGGTTCATGGAAGTTCCTTGATGAATTCCAAAGCCTCCTACTTCTTCCACACAACTGTCTTTGACTTCAAACTTCTTTCAAATGCTCTCGTCCGTGGTGGCCCGAGTGTCTTCTGTCCTGTGTACTGCGTATGTTGATGACGCAACTTCGCAATCGCGAAACAAAATAGAGGGAGAAATTTTTCGGAAAGAGAAAAAAAACTATTTATTTTGGATATGATTCGCAAATATTAAAATACAACTGAAAACAGAAACATCAATCAGAAAAAAACGAGTGCTGGGGAAAAGTATGCCACAGATTAAATACAGAAAAACGCGCGCGGTGGAGCAATTGAGAAATATTATACTTACGTCTGCTGTTCACACAACCTAGACATTAATCGTTTCGTAGCCTTTTTCGTAGTAGCGTAGGCAATATTATAGCAGAGCTTAGATTAAAGAATGGTTATCAGGTCCTATTTTCAGTCTATAATTTAAAAACGATTAACGAATCCGTAAACTTAATGAACGTTTTTGCAACGCTTTCTTCCATGAAGACAACACTTACAGAACCAATAGCGTTTAACAAATCTTCAAATAGATTCATGCAACCAAGGGTCTGTCTACTCACTGGGTTTAAGTTTCGGCCACGACTCCCGTGGAATCCTCTTATCTTCGAAATTGATGTTTCCATAGGCAAGCATATAGCGGATGGGCTCTCCAAGAGCCATCACGTCGAAGTACGTCAACTTGTAAGTCGGCGCCATCGCTCAGCAACAGTTTCTGCTACAAGATGCTGTCCCCGAATTTCAGTAGCTTCCCTCAACGTTGCCGGTAGTACTGACGGGTGCTTCGCTTCATCCAGGTGCATGACTCGACAACGCTTATCAGCGTGATTGTGTCATCTTATCTGGCTGGCTTCGATGAACCAACTGCAAGTATCCTTGATCCACGTTGACGTTACTCCTAGTGTGTACCAACATTACTGATACCGTGACTAGGCTACAAAAACCTTGTAAACTTTCTAAATTTTACAGGAAAACAAAAAAAATAAAAGACATTTGAGTTGTATTCCCTCAGAAGGAAAAGCTCCTGAATAACTCAAAAATGTATCTCCAAAACACTCGTAATAAACGGTACACTATCAAAAATTCCATCGAGATTTGTTTCTTCGATTTTGTTCGACCAGCGGCGGAAACAAGACTATACTTTGTGGCAACATTAAAATATAACAGACGAGTGTATCAATGTTGATACAGAGTGCATCACCATTTCCTTAAAAAACGTATGTGCAGCGAGGCACATCGCCGGTGATAGCCGGGGAGGCATTAGCGCTCATTTTCCGCCCCAACGCATCTGCCTTGGGGGCGCCGCCGGACATCCGGGATGGAAGCTGCAGATTGAGGAACGAGTGGGGGTAGAGGCACGAAAAAGCAATGCAATGGCAGGCAATGATAAAAATCTAAACTAACAGAAATCAGAATCGGAAATGGAATCGAGCAGAAATGTTTTCCGACATCGCCAGAAACGAAAGATTGATCTTAAAGGAATGGTGATGGTAAAAGCAAAGGAAGTCAGGGTGGCGCCACAGATGATGCGGAGTTGATGAAATCCACAGGGAAAGAGAATGAGATTGAAATCCATCAAAATTGATGAGACTTGTTGAAGATGAATGGAGAAATGAAAAAATTATACACTATAAGGGAGGGGTTTCCACACTTTTCTTTTACCACTTCCCCATCCATCAAGAGGAAAACTTCTCACGCCTCTTGCACATTTATTTTTGGCAATAAATAAAACAAGTGTTACATTAAATAACAATACATTTTTAGTCTTTAAAATATTACAATTACTCTCATAGAAATGTTCTTTTGTTGTTTGTTTATGTTAGGTCAAGAAAGTACAATACGATTTATGCCTAGCGTGTTTATGCCTAATTAATGTTTCGAGTTGTAGTGTAAATTAAACAAGTAATAAACAAGAAAGTCATTGAGAAAGATAAGATTACATTTTCTTCACCATATTCCCTGTCCTTGGTTTAGTATCAGAAAGTGCACAACGTAATTCATTGGCAATATCAAGTTGCCCCTATACGTTGTTTTAATTGCAATAAGTGCTGAAAACGTTTTCTCGAACAAATAGGTGCTTGAGAAAGGAAGAACAGCAGCGCTTGCTGTAGTACACTTGGATAAATTTTAAAATACTTTACCCCGAAAGATGATTTTTCCATTTCATAAACATCGTACTTGGCAGCAGAATATTTTTTAATCTTGGTCTTGAAGTGTTTTGGGCGAGGAGTCTATGTTGACACTGAAAGTATCCATTGTTAATTTGTAAATGTCATCATCACAAGTGTTAGGAAAGCATCGGTTGGATTGTTTTTGGAATATCTTACGCCTTTAAAGTTCCAGCTTCTCAACATGCCTTGATATTATTACAATGTGTAAGTATATTTGACTCTCCACCCTGCAATTTTGTATTAAGATTGTGCAACAAGTCAAAAAAATCAAACAAATAAGTCATCATTACTTGTACACTAGGTTTTTTTAAATTCCAGACATAGTTCATTTTGTTTCTGATTTTCAAAAAGTTAATTACTTAATCTCGGAGCTGAAATAACCTTTTCACCATATCTCATTTCGTGAGCCAGAGTATGAAGCTCCGTATGAAATTACAGTGTTTTGTGATTTGTTCCCAAATCTTCACACATAGTTTTAAAAAATTTGAGAATTTAAAACGCTCTTTTTAATGTAATTAATCACTTTGATACTTAATTTTAAGACATCATGGGTTCGTTTGGAAGCATCTTCGCTTTCTCTCATACCAATTGCACCACGCCTGAGCGAGCCCCAAGCATTGAAGGAGCACCACTTGTGCATAAACCAATCAATTTTTCTTATAAAAGTTCATATATGTCAAAACATGTCTGCCTGTTTTCATCACATCAACAGCCTTTATAGTTGTCAACTCGATAGAAAACAGTACCTCATCTTTGTCTCTTCTGTTTTCCATACATCAAACATAAACTATTAACTTAGAACATTGTGCGTTGTCTGTACTCTCGCCCAGCTGTATTGCAAAAGAGTGGTTCTTTTATTCAACTTCAACTATTTATTTTTTGATATCTTTGGCCGTATAATCAGTGAGGCTTTTTACAAAGTCAGATAGCGGTATTTGTGATAATTTGTTTCTACTATCTGTTCGAAGAACACTATCAGCTGTCTTCCACAGACATGGTGTAACAACTAATATGTGGTCTGCTACAGTTGGTCCCATACCCCTAAGAAATCCGGATGGTAAATATCCTAGACTAAATCAAGTAACAATAATAATAATAGTAATAATAATATAATACATATATATATATAATAATATTATTATTATTGTTATTATTATTATCATCATTATAGTGAGGCAAAGCTCAGTCCATTAGGGCCTAAACACTTCAATAAATTTACATTTACATTGTTGCAATTTCAATTGCTGAGTTTGAAGGCATTTTATGATAATTAACATTTCGCATTTCTTATAAATGTGCAATAAAGTTGCTACATGAAATGAGCTGCAAATATTAAAGGTACGAGTGAACTGGACCTTTCGTCTTTCACCACGAATACAATGTACGTGAACGAGTCCCACTTATGTGACAGCAAAATTGATGCAACATACGTGGGATTTCCAATAAAAGTTCTGTTGAGAGTGAACGGATGTACGAACAATGAGTACGAACAAAGAAAGACAGAAAGAAAGAAAGAACATTGATATTGAGCTGATGGCAACGGCAATAGACATCAGTGTTCGGCATTCGTAGCTGCCCATGTGTGTCGGACAAGACAAATTGCTGGCTGAAGGCAGTGGGAGTAAGTTCCACGCGTATAAAAGTCCCGCTGGCATTTATGCAGACAGAAGTCATTGCATCCGTTGGCCATGCAAGCGATTGCTCTGCAATTGCTGTGCGCAGCGCTCTTGTTGTCGCATGCTCGCCCCTTCTCCATCCCGAAACCGGTAAGCGCCTAGCAAAACATTCAGTTCAGTTTACAGCAGAGTTCATTAGCAACCGATTCAATTCTTTTTTATAACCAACAAATTGTCCCGGTTAGTCTTTTCGGAAGGACAATATAACTGCAGGATTGGTTGATACGGATTAAGGGAATCGTTCTGCTCAGAACATTCTTACGGTCTTGGGTAGACTTCGACTTTGGTGGAATTGCGCTTCAGTCTGAAAGTCATATTTGCAATTCTCTTCAGACCGCCTCTTTGATCATCTTTGTAATCTGTTTGGTTTCGTGCTCGGAGAGAATAGTCACGCGTTTATGCAGATGTGCCAATCTTACTTAATAGTGAGAGAAAGTTCCGATCTCTCTCTCTCTCTCTCTCTCTCTCTATATATATATATAATATATATATATTATATATATATTATATGTGGTCCCGTTCCAAGAAATGATATCTCTCCCCTCCCTCCCTTCTCTCTCTCCCCTCTCTCTCTCTTATATATATATATATATATATATATATATATATATATATATATATATATATATAATATTATTCTAACATACCCAACCTACCTCATTACAAGAACTTACCCTTCACCCGTAGCACGCTGACCGCTAAGCAGGTTGTTTCAAGATTTTCTCTGTTAAAAAAAAGAAGAAGCGAGCTTTGTAAAAATCTAGGGAGCAGGATTACTTCAGGAGTGCGAGAAAGGTTTGAACCTTGACACAATTCAAATCACACAAATTGCACCAAACGAGCGTATAATTTTACCATAAACTTTTGTGGCATAAGTAATGACCAAACCAAGACTAAGAATCACACTTTTACAAAAAAGATATCAAAACACAAAATAGAAACCGTTTAACACACAGACTCATGTGAATAGCACATACATTTACTTCAAAATTGATACTCTGACATAATTACCTAAACTACATGGAATCCTGGAAAATTAATATATCTAAATTGTGCTATCCTAATAACATTTCACATGAAATGCAAAAATTCCAATTTACAATCTCTCGCTTCAAGATATTTAACATGTAAGAACAAAATGTGTACAAGTGCCACTCTCTATTAGCAATTTAACTGTGTCTGAAACTAGCGAAATAATAAATTGTTCCTAAGGGAGAATGTTTTAGGCAGACAATAGCGCCATTCAAAAACGCCTCTTACTATACAACTGTAATTTTGTTTGCCACCGTGTCCTCAAATTCTTAACACTTTCCTATACTGTTTTCCCTGCGCGCGTGAACTTGACCTAATTTCTCGATTCCTAACTGTTACCTGCGTGGACTTCGCAATTTTGGCCTTGATGGTCGTGCGCTGTCGCTTGCGTGACGCCGGCTCGGTCCCCAACCTCTGCGTTGTAAGAGAGACGATTCCCGCCTGCCGTCTGCGTTGCGCGTCTTGCGTCCTCTCTTGCGCGATTCTTCTTCGTTTTTCGATCCGGCTCTTTTCCTCGTACGCCCAGTCTCGGCCTTTCTTTTCCTAGCGTCTGCTTACCGGCGCCTCTGACAGCAGCGTCAGCACGTTGCGAAAAATGTCCCTTGCATCACTGAAACCCGTGCAAGGTTCTTCGCTCGTAGCTAACTTACGTTTTACAAGCTCCAGAACTTTTAATGTTTCCTTCACAACGGTAATTTTTACTTCCCGCTGTTGTTAATTGAAGAAAACGCTACTTAATCTGCAGCTATTCGCGGCGACTAGCTAGAACGTCCGTTCGACCGGCGAATTACTCCTACCTAAGTCGTTGCAAAACGGCAAA